GTATAATATATTATAAAATTATTTTTGTGTTAAATCAATAAAAATCAATTAGTCTCACAATTTGATTGAAAACTAATGTAAAATTTATTGTATGCAAACAATACCTAGGATAAAGTTATAGAAATTCTGAATAATATATGGCAGACAATTTTGCAACAAATATTGTTTGGTAAAAGTTGCTTTATATGACAAACTCTTATATAACTCTTGAATTCATAAGTTTTTCATGTTTTGTTTTCTGCTTTGAGATAAAATTATTTTAGTTTTTAATTTAAATTAAAAAAATAATTTGAAGACAAAAAACGATGTCCTACATGAAGATGATAGAGAGGACATCCTCTACAGTCCATTATATTCTTCATCAGTATTGGATCGACTTCCAGGATCCAAGAACTAAAGGTAACAATTAATTTAAACATGTTTAAGCCCGTGATATATCAACTTAATATACAGTTGTATCAATATACAATATTATACTATATATGTGAGATTAAGTCTGATTAAAAAAACTAATTTAGATAATAAATTAAATAACTTGGGTTCGGCATTGAATAACTTAACTTGGCTAAATTTATTAATAGAGAAAAGATATTGTATTTTGCGGACATAATTTCACATATGCTTTAGTTGTTATAATGCATATTAAGTTGATATATCACAGGTTTAAACATATTTAAATTAATTGTACAAATGTTCATATAATACCACTTTTTTGGATACCTGTAAAGACTTCTTTCTGGTGGACATCTCTCCATTTACTTTTGCAATGATTATGGCATCGTATGTATTGTTTGTCAAATGGATTGGACCTAATCTCATGAAAAACAGGGAGCCCATGGACTTGCGTTTAGTGATGTTTGTCTACAATACAGCAATGGTTATAATAAACACCTACTTCTTCGTGATGGTTGTGCTGCACTGCGATTATGGCAAACGCTTTATAGATTTCAAATACCCGGATAGAAAAGATAACTCCCCCAGAGCGCTGTGGGAGCTGTCGCAGGGCTGGTACTACTTTATGTCCAAATTCCTGGACCTCTTCGACACCGTATTGTTTGTGTTGCGTAAGAAGACATCTCACATAACTTTCCTCCATCTCTATCACCACACATGTGTCCCACTGTTTGGGTGGCTATTCCTGAAACACAACGCCGTTATGCCGGCCACCGGTCTCTTCGCACTGATCAACTCATTCATTCACATAATTATGTACTCGTATTACGCGTTGTCAACACTCGGGCCCAACATAAGGCCATACTTGTGGTGGAAGCGGTACATAACTCTGGCACAGTTGGCTCAGTTCGCTTTCGGCATCTTCTACGGCATTATCATGTTTTTCCTCCAAACGGGTTATCCCGTCTTCTGGACGTACTTTGGTTTGACTCAACCCTTCTTTTTCTTCTATTTATTTTATGATTTCTATAGAAATTCCTATTCATCTAAAACTAAACAAAATTAATATGTATACCTATATATAAAACTTCGTGTTTGATTTTTTTATATGAAAAATTACTGTATTTTGTTTGATAAAATGTTTTATTAATGGGGTTATTAATAAAAATAAAATTAATTATTAATTATTTTTATTCAATAATTATTTATATGTTAATTATATTTTACAATGCTTAAATAATAATAACTTAAACAATAATCAACAAAAGCTTGATTTAGCCGACGTTTGCCAAAAAGATGATAATTGAGGTTTGATACAGTACAATTAATTAATATGACTAAAGTGTTATTTACTACGATATGTTAATTTTTTTAAAAATCAATAAATTAAGTAAACAATAATAAACGATTAATAAATCTAATTAATAACTGGTTTATAGAATATTCTGTTCCAAAACACCTTCAATGCGAGACATTCCCTGCAATTGTGGTGCAAACAACAGTTGCATTCATACAAACGCCAGTTATAAGTGCCGAAAATCCGCATACAATTGGGACACTTCAAGTAACCCGACGTCTCGTCATCGGATTGCGTGCAATATGTCTGCAGGGGTTCAATGAATAGGTCTCTACACGAATAGTCCGACACTTTTTCGGTGATTATGTTAATCTGATTGAATAGCTCGTGGTTACAGTAATAACAGGTATAGACGGGTCCCGTGTCTGTCGAGTCGTAAAACTGGTCGCCAGTCTGTTCCGCGGCCACAATCTTCTTGAAGTAATTTTTCAGACAATTGTATTCGTAATGAAATTTCATATCTCTTTCGGCCCGAGATGTGGCTTTCGGTGACTTTGATTGAAGATTGTTTGTCAAACCCAGGGACAGACCATTACTTCTTAGTTTATAAGTGAGTGATTTGAGTAGAAATCGTCGGTACTCTTGGTTATAGCCGTTGGCGAAGAAGTTCATCCTCTCGTATAACTCCAACTGATGAACAAATCCTTCGTTTGGGAAAACTTTGCGTTTCTTTTCGACCCGTTTTCGTGAATTCAAATACGAAATGCAATGCTTTTTCATAAGGAATGCCATCACTATTGTGGCACTTCTTGAGGTACCGCTTCGACAGTGGATGTAAACCGTCTCATCTGATCAGACAAAACATTTTCATTTCAGTATTTCCAGTCGATTACGGACTGTACTCTCAATTAATACCCTTTTCATGCGCTTTCGCTATAAGTCGATAGCAGTGATCAAAATGTGAGATCAAGTCTTCGTCGGGAAAATCTCCGGCCTCTATGTGTTGGTAAGAGATGTTTGGCCACCGGCTCTCTTCCGGCACCGGCTCTTCAGTCACACTAATCACGAGACTGATCTCAAGGGTTGTCATTACATTGACGTCTTTAACCGGCGAATCGCTTCCCAAATACAATCGATTCATGATTTTATTGTATTCTCTATTATTATACCAATAGTTGTTATAACGAATGAATTCATAATCGATTGCAGGTTTGGGATCATTTGTGTCACACATTACTTTCAGGTAGAGTTTAAGTAAGTTTTGTAATAATTACAAACGTTTTATATATTAAATTGAGATAAAGTTAGCAAAGTATAGTATATAGGAATTATAGAAATGATGATTTGATTAACTTTTAATTAATCACTAGAGAGATCAATCAGAAAACATGAAATGCTTATGAATTTGTAAAGCTGAATGTGTTTAACTGTAATACTACACCTGAGTTCATCATAATCACCCAATGTGACATAGTTTCAATTTTCAAAAGTTTTAGTAAAATACGTTTTTATTATTCAGATTTACAGTCTAAAAGTGAATCTTTGGAAAAAGTTTTCGCAAAACTATGAGTTTATTTTCAATGTTTAGTGAATATCACATTTCCAAACACTTGAATATGGTTAATCTAATCTGGGACTACTTTTAAATTAAAAGTTTTAATCCTTTGTTTTGACATAGAGTCTGGTCATTTGAGTGAATAGTTAAATTATTTGAAGGCTAAACATTTTTCCTTGCTAAATAACTTAAATTTATGATTATGTTCAAGTTTATCACTATTTCTACTGTTTAATAAATGGATTAATTATCTAAAATCAAGTTATGATTATTATCAAATAAGAATCATATTAACAAAAATAAACAAATATATAATCTTTTAAATCTTGTAATACAGTACAAGCCCAGGTAATATTAAAAAGTTTTATATAAGAAAGCCTTTAATTAAATAATAATACAGTAGTAAATCCATACAAAAATAGCTACAATAAACGATTGTATATCTTGAATAATTATAATACAAATGCATTAAAATTCATTAAATATCAAAAATATTTTAATCTATCTAAATGGTATACTAGTAATAAAAATGAGTAGCGATAAAAATTATACATTTAACAAAGGCATTAACAAAATTATATAATATAATGTAATTTATTGAATGCAATTCAATATTAATAGCAAATTAATTAATTAATTTTAAAAGTTAATTAACATTTGAAATGGTATTCCATTTAATAATCAATTATGAAATCTTCTGTTTGTTTACTGTATTATATTGTGATCGCCTTATTTAGTGAGCCCACAGACAGCCAGATCTTAAACCTACTGAAGTCCAATGTACTCAATGTCCTGAATCAACCACAACAGCAGCAAACCCTCGCCAATAATTTCCAGACCACCGATATCTCCACTTTTCATAAGACTAATGATTTGCCACTATTTTCGGCGATATTTAGTCCCAAACAGCCGATGGTTTTTGACCAAAAAAATAAGTTCTCATTTAATAATCCAGGTTTGACTGAGAATGCTGCATTTACTTCCAATAATAATTTTCCAAATGGCTTTAATCGTAAGTGAGGTCCATTATACATTTAAACACATTTTTAATAAATTGATCTTGTATATAATATACTAGAACAACATTTTCAATTCAATGGCTTTCAACCAATGGCACCAATGTCTGGCTTTCAACCAATGACACCGATGTCTGGTTTTCAGTCTATGGCACCGATGCCTGGCTTTCAATCAATGGCACCGATGTCTGGTTTTGAACCAATTGACATCACCAATGGTTTTAATAATCAGCAAAGTCAACCACAGTACGCGGGAATAAATCAGGTCTTAAACCTTAAGAATTTGATCCGGGGTATTGTCAATACGACCAAAATGGACAACAGTCGCGTCGATGAGACCATTAAGAATATTGTTTCAAGTAACGGAAGTTATATTGAATTAAATAAAAGTTATCATATTCCTACAGGTGCTGTTAATAATAACACAAATAATTTAACCGAAAACATTCCCAATACTTTCCTAATACCTAATACCATAACAAATAATAATAATGTATTTACAATACCTACCACTCCGAGTATAATCACAGAATATTCTACGGAGTCTACAATCGGAGTCAATACACAAGTATCACAAACTAAATCGACAGAGACTTTAAATATGGGGATCAGGTTAATTAATAATGAAGTAATAAATAATATAAAAGTTACGACACCAGCCTCGATGTCAACCACCAGTACCCCACAATCCGACCACATTCTCAAATCCCATTTGTCGAGTCCTACCACAGAATCAGAATCTCAAACCTCGACTACAGACGATTCAATAGATATATCAATGACAACAGAAACGACCCCTTTATTCAACACGACATCAGATATGGAGATAATTGAGAATAAAATCATATCGACTTTGGCCAACAGTAAACTTGAAAACCTAAAGCTTTTGTTCAATAAGACCAAAACTAATAACCCATTAATGAAATATATTATTAATAATTATAATACAAAGCATATGAAGGATGAACTCAATAATACAACCAAAACCAATGAAACCCTTACTGAAGAAACTTTAGAGATGACTACAATTGCTGTGCCACTGATGACAGAGACCACAACCACAGAGACCCCGACAACCACTGATAGCCTGGAAATGGAGAGAAAGATCATTGATTTGGCCGATGAGAGGATGGCTAAAGTGAAGACATTGTTTCAAAAGGCGAAGTCGAATAAGAGATTAATTAAGTTTATGGGAAATAAAATGAAAGCTAAACAAAGTAATGAGCAAGATAATGAATTTGATGAATTTAAAGTATAAAACTATAGTTTATAAATATTATAATTTAATAAAAATTTATTTAATATAATTTTTATTATTTCAAAAATAATAAGTAGAGCAAACAGTTCATATAAATATTTTATCTCTCTTAAACAATTTAATTTAAAAATATATAAATAACCAAACTATCTAATACCATTTACTAAATAGATCCTAATACGTTTGTTTGAGTATAAAATCATATTTAAGGTGAGCTATTGTATACAATACTTTATATTATAAATCTAACATTCATATAATTACGAAGTTAGCATTTGCAATTTATTTATAAAAAAATATTTCCCAAGTCAGACATATTATATTTCACTAATATAATATTTGATTATATTACTAACATTTGATATGCATTTATTAATAAAATGAACACAAACTACAAATACCAATTAATTGTAATTTCACTTTTTGTGACTTACATGAATTCACTGAAACTCGACTTATTGAAAGGTTTGTATTGAAAAAGAAAGCATTCCTTGACAAATAAAAAATGCAATAAACATTTGAAGGCCTGTCAGATGTGAC